ATTGACTTAGTACACGTTTTCGAGCCACAATTTTGGTAACTTTGCAGTGTTTGATCCTTCCCAAAGTGATAGCCAACAAAGACCCTGGTACAAGATTTATTGCAAAAGAATGACGTCATGATGACTTCACCACCTTATTTTATATTCATTTTTGAATATTTAATTTTCCCCATAGGTTTTGTACACGTTTTTCTACTTAACACAAGTGAATAAGTAGTCTTTAACTTCGGCGCAAGATTACTATAAGAACAAAGGGAAAATCGGTTACTTTACGCTCTGTTATTTTATTTGAAATATGCCTAAGAGTCCGAATATGAAGTAATATTTCATAAAAATTGCTCAGTTTAAGCGCAAATCACGTGACACGAACTTAAAAGAGCAGTGTTTCTCCAAATGGGGTTTTTTGCCCATTAACTTTGTACACGTTTCCAAGGCACAATTTTGAACCCTATCGGATGTTTGATCGTTTTCAAAGTGACAGCCAACAAAGACCTTGATACAGAAATTATTGTAAATAAATGACGTCATGGTGACGTCGTCATGTGATTTACTCTAGTTTTTTCAATATTTATTTCAGCCCCTTGACTTTGTACACGTTTTCAAGCCAGCATTTGGGTTAGTTTGAGAGCTTTGATCAACAATACTTATCTTGTTGGTAAAATAGTCCCGAACCAGCTTTGTGTTTGTACTTGTTTACAAACACTTCTCTCTAGTTATTTTTTTCTTTTTCAACTCAGTTCCTTCCACCAGTCGGCTTTGGCAGTTTACTAAATTTGATCGACTTCAAACTTGGCAGACCTTTGGGCAATCATCCAAGCACGGTCCTAGAAGAAATTCACAGTGATAACTTAATCAGTTTATTTATTATTGATTTTTGAATATTGTGAGCCACAATTTTGATAATTTTGCAATGTTTGATCGTTCCCATAGTGATAGCCAACAAAGACCCTGATGCAATTTCAATATTAACACAAATCATGTGACATGTATTTCTAGCTACAGTGTTTCTCCACAGGTTTTGTACACGTTTCTTCAAACGTCAAAGACTGGTGCACTCATACATCTGTGTGACTTTGTATTGGAAGCATAGGTAGTCCTACAACCCGTGGGGCTGTCAAAATAAAATCGTCACGGTGACGTCATTAGGAGCCACGTGACATGAAGTTAAAGTTTCAGTTTGATTTTTAGGGTTCGTACACGTTTTTCACTTCGCACTTTCACTTTTGTTGATTTTACCAGTGCTTCGCTTGGGAATTGCTGTGAAGATTTCAAACACATTTTCTCTTTCAGACAGTTTGATCTGCTTTCCAAAAAGATAAAGATAACAAACAAAAATTCCGAAACTGCGTTCCTCTAGTTAATCTTTTTTTTTTACCTTAAACCCGGTGTTTAGAAAACCAAATGCACACAAGAGTTACATTGATTGCAGCATGTTTGTTTCTAGACAAAGTAGGACTATCTGTCGATAGTATATTCCTAGTTTTCCTAGTATTCCTTTTTTTTTAGAACGAGCCGTCATCGATTAGTTAAATGAAGTCACGAGAGGGTGCAATAGAAATCGAAGCGCGCGGCATTATGGGTACAGTCCACTAATTCAAGCCCTATTGAAAACAGTGTAAAATCAGCACTGTTCAAGGTCCAATAACATGCACGCCAACATCCCTGAGATTTCTGAAACACAAATGATATTATTATCTGGTCGCTACTCTTTCAATTTCTTTTCAATTTTTTGTGAATTAACCCATTACATTTTTAATTATTTCCACAAAACAAAATCTCCCCCCCCCGAAAAGTGATTTTTCCGAAGTCTGATTGCAGCCATTTTTCAAGTGCCAACCCTCAACTTTCTCGGGCACTTAGGACCATTTTTCAAACGTAATTCTAGCCATTCTGCTATCAAATGAAAGCGCAAAGACCCAGGAAGTTGATCCTGGCAACGATTTGGACAATCTCACCATTTTGGGGCAAGACAATATCTTTCATCAAAAGATACTGCGGGGCACTTTTAATGCTAATGAGCTGGCCAGAATTTCTCACTTGAATTAGTGGTCTACACCCATATGCTCGATAGAGTCCGCTACCAAGTTCTGTCATCTTGGCCCAAGACTACCGTCAATACCGTGTAGCCGTCCATCTAGGCTAACGTAACTGCAGGTGTACGTGCGATGCGCACCAGCGGTATAATGTGCCTTCCAGCTTAGAGTACAAAGTGAGAAACGTTTTTGGTCCAATAATTAGGAGTAAAATGGTAAAGTGTTATTTTATCAAGCTTGTTTTTTTTTCTTCATGTAGTTTCTTCACTGGAAATTTGCAACAGATAAGGAATTGCGTCTCTCTTCCTGAATACCTAACGCAACTGTGAGTACACTTCTCCTATATATTAATACGATGGTTGTGTAAACTCATACGGTGTTGCTTTTTCGTGCTTGGCCGGCTATACAACGAATATTGGAAACGACATATTCAGTACATGTATATACCCGTATAAACTGACTACAGCCAAAGTATGGTACGCTGAATGAATTCTGTGCAGAAAGAGGAAGACCTTGGTCAGAGTTCTGCAAGTTTGTATTGCTTTTTATTAGAAGCACTACCCGGTACACATCACTCTTTCACCGTAATTTCTTTTGAGACTTTGAAAATAAAAACACTCTTTTTGCAGCATGCTCAAATATGGCAAAGTGTACAAGATGTTCATTTTCCAGAAGCCCATTGTTGTCGTCCTTGAACCAAGTTTCCTGAAGGTAAGCTACACTTTTTACGTGATTTTCCTGGTACTTTGGACGCTAGTACTGTCATTAAAAAACTAGGAACTGGTAAATTACACACGCACCATTAAATTACGGTTAAAAACAAGTGGCCCTGCTTTTGTAATTTTACATCGATGGTTGTAAAAATGTGACAGCCACACAATAAATTCACATCTTTTGATTTTTAAATCCACAGCATTTCAAGTATATCTTGATACGGCTATAGCCTTGTGAAATTGGGATATCAATAATGTAACTTCTCGTTACATTCTGTAACTCAACAATTAACCCTTGTGCTAGTTGAAGAACATAACCGGTCCTGTGTATCGAAGGATTCAATCTGTCATTTGAGGGAGTCAAATTAAAGTTACAGAGTTAGCCTTTTAAATCAGAGTCCTTGTAATGTAATCTCACATTCAAGTTTAGTAGAATAATAGGCATTACGCTGGTGGAACAATGTGGACTGTCTGGTTAAATACAGGGCGCTTCCCCGTTATTTGACGCCGTCGTATAAAATTTCGGGACCCACTCTAGTAATCTTGTGCAAAATTCTTATGAAAGTCCTTGCATCAGGAAGTCATATAAAAATGTCTACTAAACGGAGAAAAGAAACAATCCATTGACATCAACTCACACAGAAAACCTCAATAATCGGGTGCTGTTTCCTTGTTTCCCTGTTGAAGCCTTGACAACCTGTCGCTGACAGTCTTCCGTAATAAATACTCAGCTTTGTCAAACAACTTAACATAGTTCATACTGTTAATAGGCAAGATGTTTAAGTGTGCTTCAAGAAACTGATAGGTTTGCAGGCTCTCCTCCAAAATCAAAATTTTTCTTACTTTCAGAAGCAACTCTGACTTCAAGTTTGGAAGCTGTGTATTTAGTTCAACATACTGGTAGAAACAATTATATTAATTCCTCAACAAAACTGTTAATATCAAATACAGAACTTTTTTTGTACGAATCAAATGGCATTTTCAAGCATGTGCTTCCGAGGATATCATCTGCTTTCCGTATTCCTATTTTATAATTTATAATGTGTTTTCACCGTTCCAGTTTAAAATGCACCTGTAATCATCCATTTGCCGCCTCGATTTACAGCGTCAGAGTCCTCTGCTTCCCTCTTGTTCTAACTTGTCTTGTTCCATCTTGAACTCCGTATATGGAGCAAAGGAGGAATGACAAGGAACAATGATTCATTTATCTATTGTAGGAAGTCATGCACTCAACCACGCACAGCAAACCGGCAGTGGAACACGCCAACTTCTGGCACGTCTTCGGTTCCCGATGTTTCTACCACGGCCTTCTCACAGAGACAGACGTTCCTAAGTACTTGAAAAGGAGGGCGCTGTTCAATCCTGCCTTTCACCGAAGGTGATATGATCAAAAGATAAAATTCAAAAATAAATCAGTTATTAAAGCTTACTAAACCTCATCTGCGCCGAATCGTGAACTTGTAATGCGAGGCCCTGAAAAATGTCTATAACACAGCAGCTCAACGCGAAAATACAGTACTCTTCTTTCGGGGGAAGAGGGGCATTGGTCAGAGTTTTATGACTTGAGTCAACCCTCCTCCCCCCAAAGAATTCTTCACTAAAAAAAATTTTCAATGTATTTTAGCACCAGTCCATAACTTTCATGTCATGTTATTTTCACAAAGAGTAAGAGGTGGTTATGCACTTGTAAAAGATCACACATAAATTTGAAAATACCTCCAAAACACTTGAACTGCCCATGTTTGAGCAGCAACTTTTTAACAGTTTTTCTTTTGAAACGAGCAAAGGGATGAAGAACAATACTGATTCGAAGCATTACTGACTGTATTAGATTTCGTAAGTGCAGTTGCAGTGAAATCTTGCGCATAGATACTAGTAGATAGTTTGTGTTCATTTAAGTGCCCTCTTAGCTCTAAAAAAATATAATTATTTTACCGAGATGATATGAAAAGTCCCGATACCCGTTTCGTCCGTCAACAATTATTTGACATATGAAATCGATCTACGTCAACTAAAGGGCATTTTGTCGGCTTGCTGTGATAGGCCCTAAATTGCTGTTTTCACTAACTTTAACTTTTGTCAGCTGTAACATACACGACGGGAAGTAGGGATGGAATTCACTTCCACAAGGGGGCGTTCTTCATGACGTAGATTAACACCGTAGAGATCATAGGCCGTTTCCAATTCTCAACTTCGACTCTGTCTTCAACTGTTTTTTTTATTACCTGACTTTGAAGCTGCAAGCGCACTAAGTAGTCTAATAGCGCCACAAAATATCAAATAAGATGCAAGAGAGCAAAAACTTACAGTAATCCTATCTGATTTAAACGCTTCAGGCCCACAATCGGGGATTGGTTTCGGGGACAAGCCTGAGACGGAGTATTGAGTACTGGAAAACTGCCATAGTACAAAGCATGATCTCTATGATAACATACTGCGCACAAGAGTGCAACATCATTATGTAAGCAGTTCTGCGTCTGAAGTTTTTAGAAGTATTGCATTGTTTGTTCTGCGTTATGCCTTGCTTATTAATAGTATTATACTATATACATTTGAAAAGTACGAAAGCAGCCTAATAAAAAAAATCTCAATCTCAATCTTCTGTGTCTCAATACCCAGAAAGTGTGTTTGGGATCTACACTCCCTTTACCTAGGGCTTCTCTGTCCATGGGAGTTTTGAAAGTATCTAGGGGAGAGAGTGCAAAAACTAGGTCTATAATGGGTAGTTAAACCCTAAAATAAATAGCGGGGTTATTTTGGACGGTCTCACTGCCGGGGGGGTGGATTCCCCCCCCCAATCGGCTGTCCTAATCCCAATTTTTAACACTTAGCCAGTATGTACCAGCAGTAGTAAATACATGTATGTCAAATTTGACTAAATCTCGTTGCGGCAACGTGCCCAGTTATCTGCAGCGTAGCTCCATAGATCCGAGAACAGCGGATGAATGAGACAGTTTAATCACCGCAATCATCTAACTCACGTATCTAATAACGTGCACATCATTAAAACCAGCGAACCCGTACTGACAGCTTAAGACCAGTAATTGTCATCCACCCCCAGTTTACGGCATATCAGAGTGGGTGAATACAATAACAAGTACCCTCAAAAATCTTTTGAAATGAGGAGAAGCTATCAACTTGAACTATTCTTATACCCTATCTTCGTATCCAAATACTCAGTGGTGCAACGAACTTCTCAAAAGTTCTTGTCGGGCAGTAAAATGTCATCTAATAATCGAGCGAACTTTGTTATCTTTCTTGCTGACTTTGGAGTTGAAGATATTTTCGGGCTATTTTGAGAAACAATTAGATTTTGGTCAGACATTAGCCTTTTAAGATAAAGTCAAGTGGATGAGCGAAGGGTATGAATCAATATTTTTCTGGGGCAAAGGCAAACTAGACTCCACGGGGGGGTACTTTTAGCACAGGCCTATATACGTGAGGTCGGGTTGAGGACTCCAATCACCAGAATTATGTACCCTCTCATTAAAGGAGACTGCTGCATTTTCAATCTGCAAATTGACATTTTAAGACTTCACAAATACATTTCATAAACACTTCCACGATACATTGTAGAAGCCGAATCACAGTAATGAATTACCATTCTAATTATTAAGACGTAACTGCTTCTTGAATTAAAGGACTGCGGTTGTTTGACTGACTTGTTTACGGTCAGTTTGTTCTGTCGTCGGACATGCACGCACACACATGAACTCTACGCTGCTGTTTATCCTACGAGGGACGGTGACCAACCAAGTTATCAAACATCCACTTACCCATATCTTTGGAAGTTTGTCATTCGTTTGGGATACGTTTAGGGAGTAGAGTGAACGTCACGAACAAAGATGGCGGGCTGAGGCACGTGCGTGAAGTTTCAAATAAAGTTACAAGTTCTCTTTCAGTGCACAAGTGTAGCATAGCAAAAGAAACTAGAGGTGGTGTTTTATGAACAAACACAGGCTGTTTCGGAGTTTGCTTTTCTTAGTCAAATCGTTATAAAAGAAGAATGCTTACAAAATAGATATGATATGATAATATTACAGTTTCATGGAATACAGCTGAGTAGCCAGCTATACTGGCGATATATCTGTGTAGAAAATCAATTTGAAAAAAAAAAATCATTAATAAATTTATCGAGTTCACATTTAATGTCACGTCACTTGTCTCCTGATGACGTCATCATCACATAAGGCAAGCATTCCTCTAAAGCACGCCATTTTCAAGATACCTGCAAGATTTGAATCCAATCAGACATCTTCTTCAGGAGATATAGTTCCCTAGATAGTGAATATTTAACGTCGCGTGCTATAGACATTCGTCTGTAGCACTTTGCTTTCTAGTTATCTGCAAAATTTCAACGAGAAAGGACATGTCCTTCAGGAGACAAAAGGCTTTGAAGTTCATGTCAAACAACGTGTACAAAACCTATGGGGAAAAATAAAATATTCAAAAATCAATATAAAATAAGGCAATGGCGTCATCGTGTCGTCATTCATTAGCTATAAATCTTACATCAGGGTCTTTGTTATCTATCACTTGGACAATGATCAAACATTGCAAAGCTACCAAAATTGTGGCTCGAAAACGTATACAAAGTCAGTGGGCCATCAACGCTTTTGCAGAAACACTGCTCCTTTAAGTTCATGTCACGTGATTTGTGCTTAAACTGAACAGTTTTTATGAAATGTTATTACGGAGGCTCGATGAGTTGACACAGGCGAGGAGCACGTCATGCAGCTGTTCTGGAGTGAGGTTTGTGCTGTCCTTGAGGGCAGGGTCTGCTGCAAGTCTGTCCTTGGAGATGGTGGTAGCGTCGGAGGTGGGGACATTGGTGAACAGGGAGACGACATCAAAGCTGACCATGATGTCGTCTGGCTGGAGGGTGAGGTCTTGGATGAGGGCAGCAAACTGGTCCGAGTTCTTGACGTGATGTTCGGTGTTCCCCACCAAGGGCAGAAAAATTTTGGCGAGGTGCTTTGTTGTGTGGTTGGTGGGGCCTCCTCTGGACGCTACAAAGGGGCGTAGCGGAACGTCTTCCTTGTGGATCTTCTGTTGTCCGAAGAACCTTGGGCACTTGGAATTGGAAGGCCGGAGCTGTCTGTAAAGGGGCTGGTTGATGTTACCGGTGCACTGGTGGGAGAGAAGCTTTTGTTGCAGCCTCCTCTCGATGGACGGTGTGGGATCTTTTCGAAGTTCTCGGTAGGCGGCTGAGTTGAGGATGTCCGCCACTTTGCGGTCGTACTCTATCTTGTCCATGACGACAGTGGCGTTTCCCTTATCTGCGCGGAGGATGTGGATGGTCTTGTCCTGACGCAGTGAATTGATGGCTGCCTGTTTACTACTTTGGGATGTTGGGTTTGGCTGGCTTGTGTTTTCGAAGGGCTTCATGGACCTGCAGGCGGATCTCATCAGCTGCGGACTTGTCAAGGTGGCGGAGGATCGGTTCGGTGTGCTGGATGCTGTCTTCAGTGGGTGGACGTGGGGGACATGTTCATAGAGGAATTTGAGCAACTTGCAATCAACACATCAGACCACAGACCCAAGGTTTGGCTCCGATATGTGGATGACACTTTCGTCATTTGGCAGCATAGGCAGGACAACCTAGCAGCATCCAGTTCACCATGGAACAAGAACGTAATGGCATCATTTCGTTTCTTGATGTTGAGGTGACCAGAAAGGAGGACGGCAGCCTAGCCCGCACAGTCTACCGCAAGCCCACCCACACGGACAGATACCTCCACAGCACATCCTTCCACCACCCCAAGATCAAGTCGTCTGTCAACCGGGCCCTTGTCTGCAACTAGTTAGTTCCCCAGTTCCATCACCCTCCCCTACTTAGGCATTACTTCCCACCATATCCAGCGCATTCTCCACAAGCAGGGTATTCGGGTTTTCCACACAGCCCCACTGCAGTTGCACAACCTGTTCACTTCGCACAAGGACCGGCAGGACCCCCAACGCAGACCAGGGGTGTACAGAATTCCCTGCCAATGTGGCAAAGTGTACATCGGCGAGACGGGCAGGGACCTCCCTACCCGAATCAACGAGCACAAAACTCATGGCAGGAAGGGAGAGCTTGAAAAGTCGTCAATAATCAAGCACTCACACACTGAAGATCATCAGATCAACTGGAGCCAAGCTGAACTCGTCACCAGCATCGAACGATGGTATCCCCGCCGCATCTGAGAAGCCATAGAAATCATCAAGCATGACACAGTTCCCCAAGACATCGGCTTCAGCATCAGCAATATCTGGCGCCCCATCCTCACATCCCAGTCCAATGGGTCTCCTATACCCTAGGACTGCCCAGTTAGGTTCCCTCCTTATTTAGCCTATGGGTCTTCTCTACCCTTGGCACCCAGCTGCTCACTCTCCTACTGCAAACCCCAACTGACACACTTGAGTAAGCACACACTCAGGACATGCAGTACCAGGATCCGACGCAGCATCCATTGTTCCCACCTTCACTGTTCCCGCTTCAATTGTGATGAAGTCATCATGACGTCAGTCCTTTCCAATAAATCTTGCAACTTGTTCTTTGTTGGCTGTCACTTTGACAGCGATCAAACATCGCAAAGGTTTCAAAATTGTGCCTTAAAACGTGTACAAAGTCAATGGGCAGAAATAAAATATTCAAAATTAAAAAAGAAATCGCATGATGACGTCATCATTACAGGTTTCTTCTAGGACCATCCTTGGATAATTGTCCAAAGACCTGCCAAGTTTGAAGTCAGTCGAAAATTGCAAAAGAGTAGAAGTCCTGCTCAGAACGAAAACCCATGCTACGGAATGGGATTTGATGTGGAAAGAAATAAAGAAAAATAAAACGAGATGACTGTGGTTGTGAACAACTACTGAGCTGTTTTGGAACTTTCTGTTTGGTGATGACGACATCATGACGTCATAACTTTAGGAAAATTCTTTCATGAGTGTCTTTGTTGCGTGTAACTTTGATGTTGATCAGACCTCTTATAATTGCCCAAATAGTGGCTTGAAAATGTGTACAAAGTCAGTGAGCTGAAATAAATATTGAAAAATTACTAGTAAATCACATGATGACGTCGTCATGACGTCATTTCTTTTGAAGAATTCTTGCACAATGGTCTTTGTTCGATATCACTTTCATAGCGATCAAACATAACAAAGGTTTCGAAATAGTGGCCTGAATATGTGTACAAGTAAATGGACTGAAAACACCTGTGCGAAAAGCTGCTCTTTTATGATGTCATGTGATTTGCGTTTAGACTGAAAGAATTCTGAAATATTATTTGATATTCGGACTCTTGGGTATACATGTAATCAAATGAAGACGAAAAAAAAACCGATTTGTTTTCGTTCTCATAGTAATTCTCAGCCGAAGTTCAGGACTACTCTCATTAAGATCGATAATATTGCGTAGTAAAAAACGTGTACAAAACCCTTGGGGAAAACGGCAGATTTAATCTCATGTCTCGTGACCCATTATGGTGTTATTTTGACGATATTTCTTTGGGAGCCTCTCCTCGTAAGGGACTTCAAGTGTACATTGAAGGAAATAATTTAGATTGACCAAAGTTCCGAGGACAGGCTTACGAAAATGTGTACAAAACCTATGGGGAAAGATTAAATATCCAAAAATTAATTTCAACACAGGTAATGACGTCATCGTTACGTCATAAACTTAGCAAAATTCTTTTATCAGGTTGTTTGTTGTCTGTAACTTTGAAGTTGATCAAACCTCTGATAACTGCCCAAATCGTGACTTGAAAATATGTATAAAGTCAATGGGCAGAAATAAATATTGAAAAACCAATACCAAATCACATGATGATGTCATCAAGACGTCATTACTTTAAAATACTTTTTGCATGAGGGCTATCACTTTGAAAGTTATCAAACAGTGCAAAGGTTTGAAAATAATGGCTTTAAAACGTGTACAAAGCCAATGGAAAAAATTAAATATTCAAAATTCAAGAAGAAATCGCGTGATGACGTCATCATCACAAATTTCTTCTAGGACCATTCTTGGATGATTGTCCAAAGACCTGCCAAGTTTGAAGACAATTAAAAATTGCAAAGCGTAGAAGTCCTGCCCAGAACGAAAACCCATGTTATCGGATGGGATTTGATGTGAAAGAAGAAGTAAAAAAAAAATTTTAAAAAGGAAAAGAGAAAAAAAATAGCAAAAACAATAGCTGTTTCGGCCGGTGCCCAAAACACCTGAAGAAAAAAAAAGAAAAAATTAACAAAAACAATAGCTGTTTCGGCCGACTGCCGAAACAGCTAACAATAGAACTACGTGACTATGAGAAAAATTGGTCCACCCTGTTTTTCATATGCATATATATACACTTGTGTACATTTCGAAGTTCAAATTAAAAGATCATCAACGTAGTCCCCTGTAGGTGCAAATATTAGCGTTCCTGTAACATAAAATATAATGAATGTATGGTAGCCCAGGAGGGACATCGCCAATCGTCAATATGACGTCAATATTTGCTACCAAAATTCACGATTTGCTCTTCAGTCGTGAATATTGACGCTAAAGACACAGCAATTGCTTTTTAACGTTATGTCCCCTGCGTTGTGCCCAAACTGCTTGAGATCTAGCCGAAAAATATAGGTCGTCGTGCGTGCGTGTGAACACTTCCTTTCCGTCAAGCTTGCTGGAAAAAAATATCCCGGCAATATTTGCGACCAGATATACAACGAGTCGTGAATTTGGTCGCAAATATTGACGTCGATATTTGCGACAGTGAAAAATATTTTTAAGTGTGTGGCGGTAATACTTTTCTTTACTTATTTGCGAGTTGAACATCTCGTCCTTGTAGGCACCCTCGAGTTCCCCCTTTCAAAGAAACTCACCCTGGTTTCGCTACTTCATTCCACTGTCAGGTACTTGATGCAGTCAATGGACGCCTTCAACGACAGTGTGGATTTGCTTATTCGGAAACTCTCCAAGGATGCCAATGGAAAAACGGAGGTCAAAATGTTGGACGTGTTCAACAAAATTACGCTAGACGTCGTCGCCAAGGTAGCAAAACGATGTTGAATGAATTTAAGCAATTCAGAGAGCACAGGCATAACCACATCATCGGACTGATACATTAAGTGCCCACGAAATTCTACGCTTTTTCATCAGTGACGTTTCTAGATGGAGGTGGGACAAATGGATTTTGTTCCAAAAATAACTCAGTAAATAAAAGAAACTAGTGTTTTTTGAATACTAGTGCTTCCAATGTCACTTAATGCTGATACAATGCCGACATGTTTCTTGGGGAAATCTTTCCCCCATCCCCTTTCGTTTTCCGTCAGCGCCAGCTCTGTGAATACGGGCGATCCACAAAAGTGCGTCTCCAAGAGTTTGCAACTCGTTGACCAATCAGCGTGCGCGAAATCTGTCGACCCAATGCGCGTTTGGAAAGGGTCGACAGATTTCGTGCACTCTTTGTGCGTATTGTTTTAGTGTCTGTCATAATTATTTTGTTCTCGTCTCCTCTGAAAGAGGCATGGTGTCCATTGAGAGGTTAATCCTTAATGTGCTTTCGCCTTGTCCTTTTGCAACCTTAATTAG